AAGAATGTCATTTAATGCATTTATTCTTATTTTACTCTTATTTTAAAAAGATAATTGTAATAATATTAAATAAGAAGTATTATTTAAATAGTATACTTAATTAATAATAAATATATAATTTTGTCAATAAATTATTATATCTCTATTGTATTAAATAAGTTCTAAACCTATTAAAATTGAACTAAGAGAGTAATTATTTTAAAACGAAGAGTGGATAATTTTTGCTTGGTTAAAACTCTTATTTTGGTCCATTTATTTTAATAAAAAGTTTCTTTTTAATCCTTTAGCTTAAGAAAATCCCTTTTTATTGTCTAAAATTTATATCTAACCTCTTTTTAATCCCTTCATTATCTTTTGGCATTCTTGGTATGCTAGATAATAAAAATTTTAAAGTAGAAGACCTAAAAAGGGCTTTTTGAAAAGTAAAGGGACCAGAAAAAGATTTTTTTAGTTACTTTTTAATCAATTTATTTAAAATTTTTTGTTATCTAATATGTTATATATGTAAAAAGATAAAGTATTGACTAAAAAAAAAAACTAGATAATAAACTTTAAAGACCAAGAAATAATCTTCTTAAGTAAAAGAATTAATTTTTTTTATTAAAGTAAATAGAGCAAAATGAAGGTTTAACCCTTCTGCTCTTCTAACTCACCAGCTTAGCTACGAGGGAATCTCCAACCAGGTTCGTCCAAGGTGACTTGTAAAGATCTGAAGGTAGACTTGACAAAACAGTAAGAAAGAAACCATAAATCAAAGAGTGTTTCTAAAGATATATCTTTTGCAGGCGAAAGGGTATTTATCAACCTCTTCCTTTGGTAGCACTTTCGATGTGTCGATATGCTCTTGATTACCTTTAAATCCAATGCCTTGGACATCCACACACAGATTTCCTTACGTGTATGAGGTACCACGCATGCATATATGCGTGACAACGGCGGATTGTGCTGCTAGGCTTGATTTTGTTTGGCCTCACTCAAAGGCGGTTCGACTAGTCTAAACAAGGATCATTACATTTGATTGTATGGTAAGAGGCATTTTAATCAGTAAAACCTTAATAAACCCGAACTTGATATCATGTTTAAATTTTAAACTGGTCGAAAGTTAATTATTTGAGAAAGATAAATGGAGCGAATTGTACTTGCTCTCAATATGATTTAGGGTGGATGTACTTTACTTAAACTTACAAATATATACCACTTGACAATTCATATAATTTGTAAAATGTATACTTAACTCTAAAATCGCCAGAATGTAATTTAGCCACCACCTATGATTGGAAATCAATGTCATAATTTGTAAAGCATCCAAGCAAGGAGTAAGTATTTTTAGGTATAGGTTAAGTATGAATTACATTTGGTATTTGATTTGAAAATTTTTTACTATAGCTTTTTACACTTGATACTTATCTAAATATTCGAAAATCTATACTTAGTATTTAATCCAACAGATACCAAATAACTTATAAGTGTATACTTATATATTTGGTTTAGAGAAAAGAAAAAAGGATTTAAATAAGATGCTATTGTTACATATGTTTTGTGTTTGGTTTAGATTTTATTATTTAATGAGTTGTTATTACTATGTATATGATTTATTTGG